TTATCTGAATTTGCTTCAGTTCAAAACAATTCCAAGCTGGGAGCTGGGTAAGTTTCTAGGTTCATCTATTTTTGTGTTACTTTTCCCAATGGTTTTTCCTTCTCCTGGCTACTTTGTGAGGTTGGTTTGATCTTTTGAGCACTGTGTCACCTTGTTAATGCTACATTTGCATTGAAATCTCATCTAATTAATGCATTAGGCCTTTGATCCTTTAGGAGGTTCTACTGGAAAACCCATAACATTTTTGCTGCAGCAATCTAGAATTTGGACTTTTGTTCTAAAGGGATATGAAAAAATCATGTCTTATTACCAACATTTTGAAATGACACTTGGCATGTACTTCAAACTGATACATATCACAGACCTAATCCATGTGCTAGATATATCCAATATCATTCCTTCCACAAGATAAACGAAAAGTGCCAGCAAGTGGGTGAGATACCAGAAATGGAGATATCTAAATTTCCATATTTCTCCACAGTAGTGTTTGCAGCAAAGCCTGATGGTAACCAGTGATTTTGTGTTGACTATAATGCCCTAAACCTAGTGCATAATGTTAAAATGACTTCCTCATCAAAACTACAACGTGTGGTAAAGTTCCATGTTGAGGGGCACAGCAGTGTTCCAGGTTAATCTACCGAGAGGGTGTTTGGCAAATAAACACCACAATTGCTTCACTTGTGTTGTGTAACTTATACTCTTGCAGGTTTGTGCTAGTCAGACTGTTGAACTGAACCCTGAAAGAGCATACCTAGAGGCTGACATTTACTGCATATCACCTGATCAGGTGATTGTGCATATTGTCAAATTTGACTCAAGATGGTGTATCTACTGATGCTGAGAAAGTACCATTATAAAGGAATGGCAGGATACCTTTCATTAATGGGAACTGTTTACATCGAACAAGGGAATGACGTGACATGGCTCCAGGTGTGAAGGAGGGGGATATACTGTTCACAGTGGTGACAATTATGTCTCAGAGAATGTTCTGCATTCAGTGCTGGCAGCATGAAGAGGAAGTCAAAGAGAGTTATCCAGCAGCATTCTTGCCACAAAGGTGTTGTGGGCAACCTGGGTGTGAACATGGCTCTAGAAGGATATGCTGAGGTCACTGACCCTATGAAATTGCTCAATGCTCCACTCAGTTAACTTCAAGTGCAGCGACCCCCTGAAGGGTTGTTATTGGCATGTCGGTCCTGAGCAAGAACAACCTCTTAAAGCCTTGAATGGTAATTAGTAGTCTGAAACAACTTAACCAAACCCACTAGATAGAAGGCTGGTAAATTTAAGCTAATATTAGCAGAATGTCATCGTAAGTGGTTGCATAACAGACACAAGGTGTGGTATAGAAATAAGATCAAGACATGAAGAAATTTCTCAAGCCTTTGAGTGGCCACCAATTGATTACTTAAGCCTAGTCATAGGCTACCTGCAAGATGTTGCCAAAGGAGGGTGGTACATTAAAACAACTGGAAACCTTTTCACTCTCTCATAAAAGCAGAGTAAAAAATATTGTCTCCAGTAAGTTGTCAATGATTTAAGTGTGAGGTGCCCAACTAGGCTACTGTGATTGACCTGTTGCTAAAGGTGCGATTTCCAATTTATGTGCGCAACCTCCTTGAATGTAAGCTGAAATTTGATAGAAGCAGAATCTATTTTTTGAAAACAACGTGAAAACCAAGTTTACCTCTGCTATTAATTGGATTTTTGTTATGATGGATTGTGTATATCAACAGAAAATCAAGAGATCACCAAAAACCCTATTTTCCTTACAGCTCCTCTAATGATGAGATTGAAGATTTAGTGACAAGTTCTGTGGGATAAGATCACAGAAGGCTGTTGCTAAGCAATTTTTATACTGGATAAGCTTGGTTGCACATGCTGTCATACACCAAAAAAATGTAAGCACAAAAGGAACAGTGTAGAAAATTTCTCGGAAGGAGTCCGAGGAAATCCTTTTGGTTACCACAAAGATTCACAACCTCTGGCTGGGTCCAATTTAAGTATGCAATTCAGACTTCTGTTCAGACTGCACAAACTCAGAGTTTATTCTGCTCACCTGATAATTGCAAATGAACAGGGACTCTATGCGTACTCAACCATCGAGTTATTTTTTTGTAAAAAAAATACCTCTGGGGTATGTTATCATCGGGTCAACGGTCAATGGATGAGTGAGAGATGTATGTAATTCACACCAATCAGATTGGAGCTACTATAAACAACCCATCAAATTGCCACTTGTTAAGGTGAAGCATGTGTGTGGAGATTTCATCCTGATTTTAGAACGGCAATCTTTGTTTTTCTACAAACAGAAACAGGTATTCTTCTGACATTTCCAATGCTTTGTTTGCTATGGTTGAGCCCAGGAATTTGTGGATGGGTTTCAAAAGAGTTCAGAATTTGATTATTGGTTGAACAATCATAGTCTTTGGAATACACTAACATGTCATCCAAGCTTTGCTCCGAGAAATTTCGAATAAAATGAGTCTTAGCCACTCGGTAACTTGGTAAATTCTAAGACAGGAACGATTGTTTTTAGTGCAAAATGCACTATTGGGATGGTGAGGGGGCTTTCATCCATGATGGTATTCGTCTGGCTTCCATCAATATTATTTGCATGACATGCAGTTCACAAAAAAAGAATCGAGTCCAAACCATTTCCGTTTGCACAAAATTTTTGAGTTTGTGAATACAAGTTTCAATTAAGTAATGATGTTCACAGAGTAATACTGTCTTCTTGTTGAAACTTTCCTTGGAATCGATACAGAGATACTCATTTGAAGTGCTTTTCTCTGTCAAAACCAAAGAAATTACAGATGGCTAGTTATGAATGAGAACACTGCTGAATTTTGAAATCTGTTTTTGTTGCAGGTAAATGTAACAAGATATGTTTACAGTATTTGTTACTTTCAAATGGTAACTTGACACTTGTTTTTCATGCACGAGTGGTTGCAATTAAAACTGATGAATCAGTGACTCTTGTTCGCATGGTCAGAATAGACAAACAAGAAGCCAATCTAGTGGCACATCCAGAAACTTTAAGTTGATATAAACATTTAGATGTCTCTTTTCTTAGTGTCTTTCGTGGCATTTTAATGTCTTCTGTTAATGGCAATTCT